CCTGCACCTCAAACCCCCAGCCTCAGACCCGCCTGGATCTCACACCCCCAGCCTCAGCCCTTCCTGGACCTCAGACCCCAGGATCAACCCTGCCTGGATCTCAAACCCCCGGCCTCGGCTGAGCCTCAGGCCCCCAGCGTCAGCCCTACCTGGATCTCACCCCCAGCCTCAGCCCTGCCTGGATCTCAGACCCCCAGCCTCGGCTCTGCCTGGACCTCAGAGTCCCAGCCTCAGCCCTGCCTGGACCTCAGACTCCCAGGCTCTGCCCGTCCTGGATCTCAGACTCCCAGCCTCAGCCCCTCCTGGACTTAAGACCCCCAGCCACAGCCCTGCCTGGATCTCAGTCTCCCAGCCTCAGCCCTGCCTGGACCTCAGACCCCCAGGCTCAGCCCCTCCTGCATGTCAGAGTCCCAGAGTCAGGCCCTCCTGGACCTCATACTTCCAGTCTGGGCCCTGCCTGGACCTCAGTCTCCCAGCCTCCAGCCCCGCCTGGATCTCAGCCTTCCCGCCTCGGCCCTGCCTGGACCTCAGACACCCAGCCTCAGCCCTACCTGGATCTCAGACCGCCAGCCTCGGCCCCATCTAGATCTCAGAGTCCCAGCCACAGCCCTGCCTGGATGTCAGAGTCCCTGACCCAGGCCCTACTGGACCTCACACTTTTAGCCTCGGCCTTGCCTGGATCTCAACCTCCGAGGCTCAGCCCTACTTGGAACTGAGACTCCCAGCCTCGGCCCCTCCTGGATTTCAGACCCCAAGCTTCAGAACCTCCTGGATCTCAACCTCCCAGTCTCTGGCCAGCCAAGATATCAGAACGCCCACTCGGCCCTGCCAGGATCTCAGACACTCAGCCTAGGCCATGCCTGGATCTCAGCCTCCCCGCCTCGGCCCTGCCTGGATGACAGACACCCTGTCTCGGCCCCACCTAGCTCAGAGTCCCAACCTCAGCCCTGCCTGGATGTCAGAGGCCCTGACTCAGGCCCTACCAGACCTCACACTTTCAGCTTCGGCCCCTCCCTCCTGGATTTCAGGCCCCAAGCTTCGGCACTTTCTGGATCTCAACCTCCCAGTCTCTCCCATCCAGGATCTCAGAACCCCCACTCATCCCTGCCTGGATCTCAGACCCCCAAGCCTCCACCCCTGCTGGATCTCAGACTCCCAGCCTCTGCCCTGCCTGGATCTCC